AAACAAGAAAGGTCACCTTTGCTAACTTCTTCTGAAGTAGTAAGTCTAAAAATGAATCAGAAGTTGGGGCTTTAATGGAAAGTCTAAAAATGTGGACAAAGGCTAGGGAATGAGAAAAGCAAAATGTTGCACAATATCCTAAAAATCATTCTCATTACAATTTATTTCTCGGCCTTTGTCTACCAATTAGGTGGCAAATGACTTTTCACATAAGAATCAGGGCAAGGTCTTCCCTCTTCCTCTATTAAACTTCCCGTCAGAGTTACACAGCAAGTCATGCCCAATGAAGCATCACGATACCCTAGGAAGATCCTGTGTGTGCTCACAAGTACATTTAATTGCATGTTCCTACTCCCTCAGATTAGCCTTTTGGCAAAGTTAACTCATTTCATCTCCAAAGAACCATTGTTGAGCAAAAGAAGAGGATCAACTGGAAATTGTAATTAGGGATAAGGTTCGGATCTATTCCATAAAGCTAGGAATGACACCAGGAAGATTATTGCCTTTACCCAGGTCAAAGTAATTGAATTAAGACTTAAACAGGGGGCTACAAATTTAATGCTTAACTCCCAACACAGAAGTAAAGACAGGTGTTATTGACATTTGTATGTGTTAGACACTACAGTAATATTCATAAAACTTGAGTGCCAGAGTCTCCATCCAGTAAGTGTTTATTGAGCAGCTACTATCTTAAGGAAAGAGAAGTGAATCAGACAGACACAATTCCTTCCCTCAGTCAGAACCAATCAAACACCTTACATCAATGTCCAAGACAGATACTAGGTTGTCTGGAAAGTCATGACGTGTTTATGCAAAAATGTGTCACGACTTTCACGATGACCCAATAGATGAACTTTCCTGTAACCAAACTACGGAACGACAGAACTCTTTCATTTACTACATAATTATTGACATCTAAAAGTCTCAACCTACTCTAAAGTTGATTATGTTTCATAATTTCTGCTATACATATTCTCCTTCTTTCTTTAAACATCAAGTTCAAATGTGATTAGCCATGATTCATGGCCTAACTTGCCAGCCTAATCCCATTTAATGTCCCCTTTTCCATCATTACTGCAGTCAAAAGACTTCACTTAGCCTTGATGTTAAAGTAGGTGTTATTGGATGGTCACTACAATTCACCTTAGTAACTATCTTGCACAGGAAGAGAGTGGTTGGTTACATTTAGAGGTGCCATATAGGAATGTTTTCTAGAAGATGCCACATGGAATGGGTCCTAGAGTAGCCACAGGTTGTTTAAAGCTCGGTTTGAGACCACAAAATGCATTTGGAATAAACCAGAACTTCAAGGTCTGAGATCACTGAAAAGCCAAGGAAAAACCTGGGCATGGGAATGTGCATGATACATGCTGTCTCCCTAAGATCATTCAGAAGGATTAAAGCTGCAAAAAGATGAAATGTTGACATTCCATTGTAAAATTTGGAAGTGATGGCACTTGTCCTTAAAGAACAAATCGAACATAGGGACCAGCACTTAGCATAATGGTTATGTCATTGGACTCAAACATGTAGTCGACTGCAGTTCAAGTCCTAGACCCGGTGGCTTAAACTCATGCCGGATGCGTTTGCCTGCGTGTCCAAGATCCCGAGAGGATAAAGGAGGAGAAGGGATTGCAGTGTGTCCATCCCCCCTGGGGGGGTGATTTCTTGCTTTTTGTCCCTCTGTCTCTCTCTGTCTTTCTGGAGAGCACCTACGCCCTATTAGCAAAAGCCTCTCCAAAAAAAAAAAAAAAAAGAACATATCGAACATATCCTGAACAGTTGTTCTTAACCTTGTTTTCATAACCTCACTACTATCAGACACTATTTTTGAGGCCTCGACCCAGAGTAGATTCAAAATGAGAAATTCCTTTCCTTCCTTAACTAGTTTTTGTGGTCTAGAAAGAAGTATAATCACTAAAACAGGAAGAGACTGTTCCTTACAGACTTCAGAGCTCCACACCAGAAATTTAGAACAAAAATGTTCAAAGCTGAAACAGGAGAAATCACCGCTTAACTCCGTTCTCAGTTTGGACCACATCTCCACCTGCTGCAGATGACTGTCAATGAACCTGTGGTCGAGCACCAGTCCATACCAAGAACTGCTCCAAAGGCACAAAGTAAACATTGCTGACAAAACTTCAAAGTGCACTAATGAATAGAACTTGAAGTGAATAATTCCTTAACTGAGCATGATGCATATATATGGTTAGAGGTGGAGGTCATGCTTAATCTGGTAATCACTTATAGAAATGTGGATAATTTCTCTGGAGAGAACAAGCCCAATTACTCATAATGTGCCATACTGGGCAGAGCTGAAGGGAATAGGCACCATTGCACTAATTTAGGTCTGGCATACATTCACATTCCCTTGATGATCTCCCCCCGCCCCGTTCCTCCCCAAAAAGGGATGGCATAGTAATGGTTGATGGCGTGATCTAAATGGTAGCAAAATGAAAGGTATAAGCTGGGCTTTGGAGGTTTGTAATTCTGGTACTATCTGCTGTATACCTGAGAACACTCATTTCATCGTAGTATTCTGCTTTGACCTGCTCCTGCAAGCTGGACATAAGCTACAGTGAACTTAGAAACAGCAAAACTCACACTGATCGTATTTCCGACAGTCATTACCTTGTACCTGGCCCACTGATAGACTGACTTGCCAGATGCCTCTCTAGCTGTAGCAAGCCCTTTGTTTCCCACTCACTGCCAGAACCAATGACTTCCCCAGAAATGGTTTTCTTGTAAAGTCTCAGGAAAGCTGATGTGAGACCTTCACTCTTTATTCAGCTTGTCTTTTCCTGGAAGATTTCATTTAACAGCCAAGATTGCCCTCTCCATATACCTAGGTTGGCCTTTACTCCTCAGCTCTTAAATTAATCACTATGCACAGCCTTTTACATGTAAAGTTAATAAAATGATTTAGAGAAAAAAGGTTCTGTGCCATACTGAGTCCATCAAGATGTTAACATTGATAGTTAATAAAATCATTTAGGTACTTGTAGAATCTCAAGCTACTAAGGTTTCCAAGACCAATCAGGAAATCTGAGTTGGTACACATAGTACCATCACCTTTTGAGATGTGAATTTTACAAGATATGCACAATTTAGATGACAAATTAAGGCTCAAATTACAAGGAGGAATAGCTAAGATATTTCATTGCTCTCACAAGGCTTACCAGGAAACAGATTGTTCATTTAAAGGCGGTGTTTAATAAAGATACCAATTATAAAGGGGTGAGCAGCGACAAGGGGAACCAAGTCAAGATGGTAAAGTACCTTAGCAGATGTTTCTGCAATGATGGAAATGTTCTACATCTATGTTGTCTAATATAGTAACCACTAGACACATGTGGATATTGAGCACTTAAAATATGGTTAGAGAAACTAAGAAATTGAACTAATTTTGCTTAATCTTAAACAGCCACATGCTGGGGCCAGCAGGTAGCATGGTGGTTAAAGGCACTGGATCCCTGCATGGCCAATGGCAGTTCAAGTCCTGGACCTAGTGGCTTGCTTTCCCGCTTTCCCTTTCTCTCTCTCTGGTCAAATTATGAAGTAATAAATGGAATTAAATAAATAATCTTTTTAAAAAATAGCCACATACAGCTATTCTATTGGGTAGCACAGTCAGGTCTAGCAAATAGTGATTAAAACTCCTAGGCTTGAAAAGGTAAGAAAAAGAAATAATAGAGAAGAATCCTGACATGTCTTATAGGAGGGGACTACATAACAGGAGCTATAGCCTTTGACAGAAGATTGAGGCTACTGCCAATCTAGATACCAGAATAGCTGGGAATAAACATACTAACTCACTCTTCTTGCCCCCATTCTCTTGCTGCCTCTGACTGGTAGGACTCAACCTAAGGACAAAAGAGCTCACTGATGCATCCCATAAAAGTCAGTTTATTAGGGCACAGAACATAGGGAAAGGTGGCAAGTAGACATGGGGCAAAACATTAATTATACTATGTACAAGTGAATTGTGACATTGGTTTGGTTTATGGACACTTATAAATCTAAATATGGGACCAAGTGTAAGGAATTGATCAAAAGCATGTTTTCTAATGAAGTCCTACAAATGTTTATTGTTAAAACTATACCACAGTTCCGTTCACAGTGCTTTAATTAAACTGCAACTATATTCAAGTTTCACACATGAAGGATTAGGTGAACACTATGTTCCCTTAACTATACTCAACCATGTATTACCAAGGAGCTGTGAGAAACTTTTTCTTCTAGATCTCAAATCACAAGGGCCAGTACTGGGGAAATTTTTTGACTTAGGCTAAAGGCCACTGTAACTCAATAAATGATGAAACTCAAGATTAGTTTAGACTCAACCTGGTGGTGTAGTTGGCAGCAAACTAAACTGCAGTGCTGGAAGCCACATGGCCAATCCTAGGTTCAGATTCCCTAGTCAGTCTGAAACATGCCAGCTGTGTACATTCATGTCTGATAAGCTAGAGAGATGGGAGTGCAGTGTGTCGAGGGTGCTTCTCTCTCCTCCACTCTCTAGTGTACACACACATGCAATCATGAATAAAAATGTGAGAAAAAATTAGAAGACTGGAGGAAGACCAATAAACTGGAAACATGAATCCAAAAGCCTTTACTCCAGCACTATATGGCAACTGTCTTCTGGCTTTTTTTGAGAGAGATTTTTAATATAGGGTGTAAGCAGTGGCTGGAGAGACAGAAACAGAAAGTTAAAAATCATCTCCTGGGGGGATGGCCATGCAATTCCTTCTCTTCCATTCTCCTCTTGGGATTTTGGGCATGTACCGCACACATGCCCAGTATGAGCTTTAAGCCACCCCGTCCAGAATACAAACTGCAGTCGACTACATGGGAGACCAGTAATGTAACTATTACGCCACCTGCTGGTTCCTGTTGGTATGTATTTTAACGACCTTTTTCATTTTCTGCACTATCTAGTGCTAAGGGGAAAAAAAGGAGAGGTTTGGGTGGTGGTAATATCTATACTCAGAGTCAAGACGTATTTGTGGAAATCTTTATTGTCTTTTTTTAGTGGATCCTGAATATATTGAGTCCAGTTCTTACTGCCTAGCACTTAAGGAAGAAAGGTCTAATTTCACTGTTTGGGGGTTGAAGTAGGTGCCAAAGGAAAAACAGTTCCCGCCACCTCCAAGGAGTAAGAGCTGTTGCTCTTCAGGAAGAAGAATGCTGGTGTGGTTGTGTAACATTAATGGCCATGGCACACATGTTGTGTCAATCTGATATTCAGAGCTGAGTCCTGTAGTCAAATCTATAACAGTCACACCAGGAACTGAAGAGGAATGAATCCAGACGCCCCCAACCAGTAAAAGCTTTCCATTGAGCACATGGGATGTGTGGGAATACCTTGGGGTAATGGGAGGCTGGATGTCTATTGATTCCCAGAGGAATCCACAAGAGATTGGTCTCAGAAAGAGTACAGAGTTCAATGGCTCCTCAGAAGCTCCAAGACCTCCAGCAATAAGGGCTCCCCCTTGCCAACTACAGGCACTGTGGGAATGCCTGGCTACAGGTGCTTCCCCCTCCACTGGGATCTTGACCCAAGCCATTGTCCTTACATGTAGAAAATGCCAGTCACTTAGTACAGGTTCCACTACGCTTCTACCCCCGTATACAAACAAGTATTTTTTATTCTCATAGGACACTTCTGCTGTTGAATGTCGCCAACGTGACAAAGTGGAATCTTCTTTTGGGCTAGCCTTTGTTACTATCACCTTCAGGTCCTCAGGGCTATTATTCTCACTCTTGCTGATATGAAGTTGAAGAGCTCCTAAGGCTGGACTTACTGGGGACAGTCTACCTCCCAGAACCAGAACTTCAGTATCTGAAAGTCTTGTCATGGTATGATAAAGCCGTCCATCCCACTGAGTGCCATTCTCCCAACTGCATATTTGGCTGCCTTTCCATTCAAAGTCGCAGTATCTAGAGAGCAAGTGAAACTTACTAACTCGGCAGTGCCGCCCATTCTCCTCTCCAAATCCTCCCGCAATGAGAATGCCAGGGCTCAAGAGGACAGAGGCGTGACCATATCTTTTAAGGTCTGGGCTCTGGTTGTCACTAGTGACTACACTAGCTGGGAAGACCCCTGAAGGGGAAGCAGGATCTACCTGAGGAAACGCCTCAGAAGGTGGAAACACCAGAGTCTGAGAAAGAATGTTTCCCCTAGAAGCTGCCAGAATGAAATAGTGGGCGCACTTCAGATGCCACTCCTCAAACTCATCAAAGGGTTCAAGATTTTCTACCCGCCAGCGTTCTTCTGGGGAAAGAAAGCAGCGATAGAATTCATTCATGTCTATGGCACTGCAAGAGGTCCAACCAGCTTGAAGGAAGCGGCGCCGCTGGGCCTCCACATCGGGAAAGCGGTCCAGGCCATGCAGGGGAGAATTTAGCTGCCGAAAATGTTGAAGCATGAACTGTCCAAAGGCGTCTCGCGGCCTCATCTGCTCGTAGATCACGAAAACGGCATTAGGAAAACGCTGGGCTGCCCAGGCTATGAGGTCCGCGGCACTATCCGGCTCGAGGTAGGTCAGCACCGCCTCAGCCAGGAGCAGAGTGGGCGAGGCTGCGTCAAGGCCCGCGGCGGCCAGGGTCTCGTCTAATCGCTGGAGGAGCCGCAGGTCCAGGCCCAGGATGCGGTAGTCGGAGCTCTCAAAGTGCAGCGCAGACTCGGGGTCCCCCCTCTGGAAAGGCCTGGTTAATGCACACAGTTCCGGTGTCTCCGCTATCCTCTCGGCTTTGCGCTGCGCCACCTCGGGAAAATCCACCTCCCAGATGGCAGCCCGGGTCAGGCGGCCCGCAGTTTTGAGACGAAAATACAATGAATCCGAGCCAGCGCCAAGGGACACGATCTGGGATCGACGTGCGTCGGGGAGCGCGCACGTTCGCTCCAGAAAGGCGCGCACGCAGTGCCGCACAGCGCGTGCGCGCACGTAGTAGCCTCGGTGGATGAGCGGCGCGCGGCGCACCGCCCCCGGAACTAGCAGCGCGGCAAAGGCGTCTTGCACGTACCCGCGCGCGGCCAGGGAACTCTTGCTGAGTGCGCTGCTGTCGTTGGTACTCTGCACTGCTCCCGCCCGACGCTCGCGGCTCCGCGGTCCCATGGCCGGGGGTCACTCAGGAAGGGCGGCCGGTCACGGTTGTGAGCCGCTGCTTCCTTCATATAATGCACCCATACAGTCCTCGGTGCGGAAAATCACCGCCCTTTTCCGCAGTGAGTGCGTCACTTCCGAGAAGGGCGCGCCTAGCCAATCGGGATTGGGGAGGGTGTACCTTGTACTAAAATTCGACTGCGATTGACCTTGCTTTGAAGCTCTCGGATAACGTTTTCCTGGGAAGACCTCCGGTTCCCGTTGTGACACGTGTGTTTGGGGAGCGCGGGTTGTCACTTTTTTGCAACCTGAAGGGGAAACTTGTCTAGGTCCTCATAATTGTTAAGAGGTGAGTCTTTGGGAACTGACGACCCTTGAACAGCGAAGGGTCTGATAGCGAAAAAGGGTCAGCACCAGGGACCTATAGTGGCCAACTACTAATAATAAGAGTTGTCAGTTCATTTCATGCTCTCACCGTTGGAAAACAGAACCCATTTAAATCTGAAAACAAATCAGTGCCGCCAGGTGCAAAATGAAGGGGAACTGACCGTTACAGATAATTTACAGGTGTTTGTAATAAACGTCCAACCACAGATACATATTGACTCCTTTGTATTTCCAGCCCTGTGTCAGGCTTCACAGTGAGTAAACCGCTCAGCCCCTCTCATCTGTAAAACGATATTCCTCTCCACTTCCAAAATCCCTTGATTCTAAAATAGTTGAATATGCGCATATGGGAGTCACATGAAAGTGATAATTCCCTGTGGTATATCTTGAGTCTTGTTTTTTTTTTTTTTTTTTTTTGAGAGATTTTCACTGTAGGGCGCAGTGCGCTCGCCAGACAGACAGAGAGAGACATAGAGACAGAAAGCGAGAAATCACCCCCCAGGGGGGATGGTCATGCCGCAATCCCTTCTCCTCCATTCTCCTCTCGGGATCTTGGGCACGCACGCACACGCGCCCGGCGTGAGTTTTAAGCCACCGGGTCCAGGACACGAACCGCGGTCGACTACGTGGGAATCCAGCGACATAGCTATTACGCTAACTGCTGGTTCCCTTGAGTCTTGTTTTTAAGGAGAAAATCCAGGTTAAAGTTTAAGATAGCCATAAAGTTTCTAAATCAAGAGTCTGGAAATTACCAGTAGAAAACTTCTAGAAACATTAAGAACTTTGTAATTTTTAAATTGAGATTTAGTGATTGGCTGAAATAGAGAAAGAAATCGGGAAGTCTAAATATGGTTAATTTCAAGTATAATAGTAAATAAAGAGCATGAGTTTTGGAGTCGAGCCAATTTAGATAGTGGAATCAAGTTTGGATCAAGAAAAGGATTTGGAAACTGAGAAATGTATGAAGGTTCAGTGTTTAAGAGCTTATTAATGACCTTAGGGAGAACAATTTCTGTGGAGCAGTGAAGACAGAATCCATGTTTCAGTGAATGGGAGAAAAATTAATGGAAGCCTCTAGCCTAAAATACACTTTCAAGGAGCTGAGCTCAGAAGAAAGAGAGATTCAGGGCAGTTGCTAAAGAAGAATGTAAGGTAAAAGAAGAGTTTTTTCTTTCATTGTGTTTTCAGGCGGAAGCAAATACTGCATGTGCATGTTGGTCCCTTGAGGAAATCAGCCAGTGGAGGGGGAGTGGCTAAAAGAGGAGAAAATTGAGAAAATAACTCACTTGTGGGTTCCATAGATTAACACTGTACTTGGAGTAGACAGGAAGGAGTGGGATCCTGAACATAAAATTAGCCTAGGGGACAGGAGAATGAATCCTTTCTCTGACTCACAAGTAGAAAAAAAGAGTATTGGTAAAGGTAAGTTTAGGTGTGGAGTAAGGCAGAGAGAAATAGAGGAAATTCATGTTTAATGGTTTCTGTTTTCTCTGTAAAGTTGGGGGCGTGTTTGTCAGTTCAACATAAGGTGGTTGGGCCTGGTATAACATTTGAAGAGGTTGGACTTGCCTCTGAAGGTACTGGGAGGACTCACCTAAGCTCACTGGGACTTTGGATCTTCATCTTTAAAATGAAGGGATTAAGTGCTGTTCTGAGTTTTCTCAGGTAGATATAGTCCCAAATGGGGTGGGGGGACATTGAAGGACTTTGAAAAAATAAATAACGCTATAGAAATTAATTATTTAATGACAAGTTAGTGAAATGTAGATGTTATGTTACAGGTATTTCTTCTCTAAGAAAAATTAAGAAATGTGATTAAATAAAAAAATAATGGAGCAAAATTTGTATTTGGGATTCCTTTTTTTAGAGAGATTTTTGCTATAGGGCATGTGTGCTCACCAGAGAGACAGAGAGAGAAACAGACAGAAAGTGAGAAATCATCCCCTGGGGGGATGGGCACACCTCAGTCCCTTCCCCTCCATCTTCCTCTCGAGATCTTGGGCACAAACGTACCGGTGTGAGTATTAAGCCACTGGGTCCAGGACTTGAACTGGTCCAGAACTTGAAATTAGTCTAGGAGACAGGAGAATGAATCCTTTCTTTCTGACTCATAATTAAAAAAAAAAAAAAGGATTATGTCACTGGACTCAATTGACTACGTGGGAGTCCAGTGATGTAACCTCTTTATTTTTTTTTTTTTCCAATTTTAGTTTATACTTGGGTAAAATGGGAAAAATAATGCCTCATGGGTTGTGAGAATTTAAGTAAAATAACCATCCATGACACTAAGCACAGTTCCTGGCTCACAGTGAATGCATAATAAGTAGTAACAATCACTTATTTTTAAGCTCTGGGTTCCCTTGTGGGGCATGGAGATGTATGAAAAAAGACTTGATCTGGCCCTACACTAAACTGATGAACTATTACTAATGTGGAAAGATCCAGAGTTTGTTGCCTTTCATTCTCTTACCTCCACCCCAGCTCTGGCTCAGGCCAAAATCAGCCCAGGAAAGTTGGATTTGGCAGGGTGTGATATTGTTGGGAAAGAACAGCACTTTCCCACTTTGGCATGATATCTTAGGAAAAGAGCAGCACTTTTTTTTTTTTAATTTGCTTTGGGGGAGCCAGTAAGTGGTGTGGTGGTTAAAGCCCTGGATTCCCACATGGTTGACCACTGTTCAAGTCCCAGATGCAGTGGCTTGAAAATCACACCAGGCACGTGTGCATGCATTCCTGTACTCCCAAGAAGAGAATAGAGGAGAAGGGATTACAGAGTGGCCATCCCCCCAGGAGGCGATTTCTCACTTTCCCTGGCAAGTACATGCACCCTATGAGAAAAACCTAAAACAAAACAAAAAAATGGTTATAGGGTGCACTTGCCAAAGAGAGAAAGTGAGAAAGCACCCCACCCCTGGAATGGCGGGGTGGGGGTGGGGGGTGAAGAGTCACTCCACAGTCCTTTCTCCATCATCCTCTTGGAATTTGTAACTTTTGAAGTAGTTTTATGAATGTGCCAACAGGAAAGATTACACTCTACTAAATGTTACCATCTTGGGGCTTGTTCTTATTTCTGGTTCAGATTGGTTGTGAATCATTTCTCTGTCTCACACACACCTAAACTAGTTTTGGAAGGACTTTTGCCATTTTAAAAACAAATTCAGAAAATCCTGGTTATTTTAATGTCAATATCTGGAACTATTTACATTCTTAAACTAGGCGAAGCTGAACCCAACGCAACATATACATAGCAAAGTGTGTGGAAGTAAAGGATTTTGAAGAATATTCAGGACTGCAGAATTACGGACTGAAAGACATTGTACTGTTCATAACAAGAATAAAAGCAGAGAAAGAACCTTTTTTTTTTTTTTCCTGATGATGGAGGCAGAAGAACAGCAACAGCCATGGATGACAGACTTTTACACAGAATTGCCAAAAGTGGTGAGAATGCAGTTGCAGAATTCTTGAATGATTTCTAATTTTAATGACTTTTATATTTATTTTCATTAAAAAAGTAAGTTTCGTAGGTAGAATTATTTGTATACTTTAAAAGTTATAGTAGTTTATTCTAACAGGCAATTTGCTTAGTACAAATTATAAACATCAAGTGCCTGGCATGATGCTATGATTGTAGTATATACTTGATACGTTTTTATTGATTGCATTCTCTTGTCTTAGGAACTTCATGCCCACTTGAATGGATCCATTAGTCCTAATACCATGAAGAAATTAATAGCCAAGAAGCCAGATCTTAAGGTCCATGATCAGATGACTATGATTGACAAGGGAAAGAAAAGAACTTTAGAAGAGTGAGTTCTGGGAGGTTGTGGATAGACATTTCTTTTCTCTGTCAGTATTTTGAGATTATAAGTAGTATATAAGGAGGCAGATTTTAGCATTTGAAAGCAATAGGGTAGGCATCTTTTATGGAGAATATAACTTAATGTATAGCATTTTTCCCTACCTTCAGATGTTGGCAATATTTTTAATGATTTATGTTGGTCATGAAGTTAAACTATATTGGGATATTCTTTAGACTTGAAAAGTAGAGGTGTATTGATTCCCAACCCCCTCCTTGTTTGTCGCTACTGGACGTACAGGTAGGATTAGAGAGGGGAACTATCAATATTATTTCCCAATTTAAAATATTGGTAATATTTTGAGTCATTTGATTGTCTTTCCTGATCAATGTAGTCTTTGAAAAACCTGTTCTGTAGTGCTTTTTAAAAAAAATTTGTCAGGGGCTGGCAGGTGGTGTGGTGGTTAAGGGCACTGGACTCCCACATGGTCACCCGTGGTTTGAGTCCTGGACCTGGTGGCTTGCTTTCTCATTTTCCCTCTCTCTCTTTCTCTCTCTCTCTCTGTCCCTCTCTGACCAAATTAAAATAAGCAAGTAAATAAATAAAGTTAAATAAAATAATTTAAAAAAAATTTGTCAGGGTATTTGTGTTCACCAGTGAGGAAGAGACCGAGAGGGAGAAAGCATCCCTCTTGGGTCATGGTCATGCTGCAATCCCTTCTCCATTTTTATATCCCGTTGAGATTTGGGGCATGCATACATATGTTTCTGATATGTTTTCTAAGCCACTAGGTCTGGTATTTGCACTGTGGTTAGCAATGTGGAATCTGGCTCTCATAACCACTAGGCTATGGGACAGGCCCCTGTCATTCTTTATGTATATAAATATATACTTATTATTAACCTAGGATCTGTTCCTTAATTCAGATTATTGAATTTTATTTTAAGTGACAAGTTTTTAATGACTACAGTATGTTAAAACTTTTCCTTTGTGTTGTAGGTGTTTCCAGATGTTTCAAATTATACATCAGCTTACTAGTACCCCTGAAGATATTCTAATGGTAAGACATAAGAACATTTTTAGAATTTAAAATGGTTTAAAAATTATGAAGTAATTTATGCCTTTCTGATGCTTTTGCCCTCATCAAAGTCTGATTAAAAAATGTTTGTTGTTTTTTTTTCCATGACAGCTCTTTTCAAAACCAATGTAAGATTTTTGCCTTAAAGCTAATATAAAAAAAAAGATGGTGTTCATTGTATGAGATATGAGGAAAGAACTAAGATCAACATCTTCTAATAGACAGAGGATGTTATGAGGAGGAAATCTGTTCTACATTCTGTATATAACATGTCCTATGAGATATTTGACTGTAGAAGGAAAAATTTTTCTTGACCAGTCAAAAAATAGTTCTCTTGGACCAACAAGTGGTGTGGAGGTTAAGGTGGCTGAATCCCACATGATGAACTGGTAAAGATATCACTTTATCTGTATTGCATGGGAGACTTTTAACTAAGTGGACATGATAGACAGTGCAAAAGTTCAAGAAATGCTTAGAGAGTGAATGTGTAATTTCTAAGAAAATTGTGCCTTCTCTTTTGGGGATGAAGGTCTAGAGAACACCACAATGTTCTTTTTTTAGGTTTTTGACATAGAACTTGTGTGCTTGCTGGAGAGAGAGAGAAAGTGAGAAATCGCTCTTCCCCCAACAAAGAGGGGGCAGATAGCCACAGTGCAATCTCTTTTCCTCCATTCTCCTCTTGGGATTTTTTAGCATGCACTCACATGCGCTGGCATGATTTTTCAAACCACCTGGTCCGGGACTTGAACCATGGTCAGTCATGTGGCAGTCCAGCACTTTAACGCACCATACCACCTGCTGGCTTCCACCACTATGTTTCTTTGTCTTTAAGCTTATAATACTATATAGTCTGATGCAGAAGACTGGAATCTGTATCATTGATCTGACCAGAATGGCATTTAAAAATATCCTCTTTGTAAACAGAGAGAAACAAAGTGTCAATTTTCGTAATTTTTAGGAAAAAATACCAAGTAAGAAATATAACCTGCAGGCCGGCAGGTGGCATGGTATATAAGGGCGCTGGATTCCCACATGGCCAACCATGGTTCGAGTCTCAGACCTGGTGGCTTGCTTTCTCACTTTCCCTCTCCTCTCTGTGTCTCTGATCAAATTAAAATATATGAATAAATAAGTAAAATTAAATAAATAATTCTAAAAAAAATTTAAAAAGAAAAAGAAAAGAAATATAACCTGTTGGCTGGCAGGTGGCGTGGTGGTTGAGGTGTTGGACTCCCACGTAGCCAACCATGGTTCAAGTCCCAAACCTGGTGTCTTGCTTTCTCACTTTCCCTCTCCTCTCTGTGTCTCTGATCAAATTAAAATATATGAATAAATAAGTAAAATTAAATAAATATTTTTTAAAAGAAATATAATCTGGGGACCAGCAGTTGGCGTAATGGCTATGTTGCTATACTCCCATATAGTCAACTGTGGTTCAAGTACCAGACCCAGCAGCTTAGAACTCATGCTAGGTGTGTATATGTGCATGCCTAAAATCCCAAAAGGAGAATGGAAAAGAAGGGATTGTGACATGGTGATCCCTTCTTAGGGGGTGATTTCTCACTTTCTGTCTCTCTGTTTTTCTCAGTCTCTCCAGTGAAACCTCTCCCCCACAAAAAAAAAAAAAAAAAAAAAAAGAAAAGAAATATAATCTGTGTTATTGGAGAACAAACTTTTTTTTCTTTTTGCTGTAGGGCACATGCCCTCAACGAGAGAGAGAGAAGGTGAGAAATTATCCCTCAAAGGGGATGGCCACACCATAATCCTTTCTCTATTCTCTGCTTGGGATTTTGGGCACACATGCATCTTGTGTGATTTTCAAGCTACTGGGCTCAGGATCCAAACCATGTAGTTGGTTATGTAGGATTCAGCCACCTTAACCTCCACATCACTTGCTGGCCCAGGAGAACTATCTTTTGACTGGTCAAGAAAAAAGTTTCCTTTTTGGCTGAGATGTTGTCATGAAAGGTAGTAAGTGAATTAAGTACCTTTTAAAGGAGTGTTAATGCTAATAGGTTAGTTCAACAAAAGTTGACTGAGTTCCCACAATGCCCCTGATACTGTAGTAAAAACTGGGAGATAAAAAGAGAAAGAGACAGTTCCTGCTATTGAGAAATTTATAGTCAGAGTAGAGACACAGTCCAATAAGTAGATTAATTCAACATAAAGTGGTAAACTCTATGTTAGAGACATGCTCAAGGATTTATAAGAATCCAAAAAAGGCATTCTCTAATAAACCACTCAGCAAATTGAACACTACCATTGAACACTGCTAGGAATGATGACCCTGGGGCTCTCTTCTCACTTTGATGAGTGTTACAGAGCAAAATGATAAAATTTTAGATTCTGAAAGTGTAATTCTCCAGTTATACTACTGTAATGCTATGCTTAGCACTTCATTCATATCAAAATGAAAGTAGGTAAATAGGTCTATTAAATGGAATGAGAAATAAGGTTTCTGTGTACTTTATTTCATGTTACTGAGATGATTACCTATACGTGATTCAGAGGATAACAGTGAGGTGCCCCATATAATAACTGTGACATCTATGAGAGAAAGCAAAGAGATTGTTGTAAATGCGTAACTGAGTATGTGGGGAATCACTTAAACTCTAGTCAAGATTTGGAATGTGATGGAAATAATGATTGCTCTTACACATGCCAGATACTACACTCCAGTCAACACTGGTTTTTGTTTGTTTGTTTTTAAGTGCACTTGGTCTCACAGGTACCTAACGACCTTTAAGACAGACTTCCTGGGGAAGCAGTGCCATGGGACCAAATGACAGCAATGATGGCATGGAAGAAACAGGGTTGTACCCAATGGTGGAGGCAGCAGTAGTGTCTTGCTTAGTCTAGGAGTATCACTTGATTTTGAATGCTGCATTGTTGTCTTGAGCTATGTGGTCTCTAAGTCTGATTTTCCAGACCTTCTAGTGAATCTGAACCACCCATCCCATTCACACCATAGTAAATTACATTTTGGCTTTAGTAGCGGAGGAAGAAGAGACCCAGGCTTTGGATTGCAATGAATTTCCCAAAATAGTGTAACCCTGTTAGGCACTGTCCACATAACCAGCAAACCCTTGTTCCTTTGTTGGGACATTGGGCTTACATCCTGTGTACATGAAGTAAAAGCAGATTAAGATTAGGGTAACAACTGTAAGAACTAACTAGGGCAGGCTGTCACAATATCCCCACCCTGGTCCTTTTTTCTTTGTAGTTTTGGTATTTCTTAGGATTGATAGCAGAAAAGGAAAACATGTCCTCAGTAATTTTTGGATTACTGAGACTTGTACTAAATTGGATACAATTTTACTCATACTTATTACTCACTTTCTTTACCTAATGGGAATTTTCTGAAGTATTCTGGAGGAAATTTAACCCTGCTATAATTTATTGAAAATTACAACTTATCCTTTTTTTAAAAAAAAAGTATTTATTTAATTTTATTAATTAATTTGTTTATTTTTAATTTGAGCAGAGAGAGAGAGAAAGCAAGCCATCAGGTCCAGGACTCAAACCGTGGTCCGCCATGTGGAAGTGTCTAGCGCCTTAACTGCCATGCCACCTGCTAGTCCCGACAGGTAATGTAAGTTATTTTTAAATAACTGGCACAAGAATCTTAAGCCATGACTTTAAATAGCACATCAGTAATAATTAATAACTATTTCCTAATACTCTGCACACACAGAAGTTTCCAACTGGCCATAGTTTTGTCTATTTATTATGAGTGTGTTGTTATATATACAAGGAAATAGAGAAATAGTTAAATAGGAAAAGAAACAGCATGACTGATGTGCAGATTTAATGTGGGAATGAGGGCAGTGATGAGAGTTATTGGAAATACAGCTTTGTGTAGTCTCCATTGGAGATGGACAAAATGGGTCCTCGCTACCACGTGAGAGGCTTGCAGCAATCCTTTCAAGTCTAATTTAATGAACGAAATAAAGCTGTAGCACTTGGCTTTTATTCACTGGGACTTTACGCTAATATTATCAACATTGTGTACATTGCCTTTGTTATTAGGTCACAAAAGATGTCATTAAAGAGTTTGCCGATGATGGTGTCAAGTACCTGGAACTAAGAAGCACACCCCGAAGAGAAAATATTACTGGTAGAATTTATTTACTTCCTAGTGATTGTACTGTCCCTTTTCCCATGTACCTTGATCATTCATGTATTTTCAAGTTTAGTGTATTGAACACTGATTTTTACACTAATATGGTTCTCCATTTCCATGGGACCTTTTCCAGTTTCTCTGATGTATGTTATTAATAAGTGAGTTATTCTAAAGTGAAAAGTAGAAAATCTGATCAGGTATTATCTGTTTAAAGTAGGGAGAAAGGTCTTCAAAAATTTCTTTGTTCTTTGGGAACCAGCAGTTAGTGTAACGGCTATGTCGCTGGACTCCCACGTAGTTGACCGCGGTTCGCGTCCCGGACCCGGTGGCTTAAAACTCACGCCGGGTGCGTGTGCGTGCGTGCCCAAGATCCCGAGAGGAGAATGGAGAAGGGCTTGCGGCGTGACCATCCCACCTGGGGGGTGATTTCTCGCTTTCTGTCTCTTTGTCTGTCTGGTGAGCGCACACGCCCTATAGCGAAAACCTCTCAAAAAAAAAAATTCTTTGTTCTTTCTTGTTTTTTTGTTGTTGCATTGTCTCAAGTAGAGGATAATTCTTGGTCCTTGATTGGTCTCTCTCACAAGGGCTCTTAGGAGATAAAGCCACTGTGTGGATGCTGATTCATATCTTACGGCAGTTACTGAAGTGTAGGTGATTCAGTCATTCCTCTGAGACTAATAGTTTCTTAGGCCAGGAGCAAGCTGTGATGTGGTAAAACCTTTCTGATAGACATGAATGGATCTGGATGAGGTCTGGAGAAATTTCCTGGGCATCTCCTTTCATAAAAGTAGCAGGAGATATATGGGGACCAGCAGGTGGCATGGTGGTTAAGGCGCTAGACACTCCCACATGGTTGACCACGGTTCAAGTACTGGGCTTACTTTCTCACCTTCCCTCTCTTTCTCTGTGTATCTCTTTCCAGTCAAATTAAAGTAAATGAATGAATAAATTTTTTTTTAAAAGTAGCAGGAGATATTACATTGTATCTTTGTGTCTTAAACACCTTGTCCAACCCAAAGAGACCTAGGTCATCTTGCACCCTGACACATGTAATCATTTGGGGGTAAAGTTTTTGAAACTATTAAAATATTGAAATGTGACAAGAACGTTCTTATCTTGCATTTTATTTATTTATTTATTTATTTATTTATTTATTTATTGAGAGGTTTTTGCTATAGGGTGTGTGTGCTCACCAGAAAGACAGAGACAAAGAGATAGAAAGTGAGAAATCACCTCCCGGGGAGGATGGCCATGCTGCAGTCCCTTCTCCTCCATTCTTCTCTCGGGATCTTGGGCATGCATACACATGTGCCTGGCGTGAGTTTAAGCCGCCAGGTCTGGGACTCGAACTGTGGTCGACTACATGGGAATCCAGCCACATAGCCATTTACGCCAACTGTTGGTCCCATTAGCTTGCATTTTTAAACTGTAGAGTCACTTCCAAGTTATGCTGGTGAGGGTAGTGAAAGGAAAGGAGACAAGAAACCTGTGAATCAGTAGAGCTAATTCTTCAAATGGAGATTCAAAAGGGAGATACCTGCCTAAGTATGCAACAGTAGGGGAATGGTCAAATAAAGGTTAATGGAATATCAGGCACCCATTAAATATGTGTTCAAAAACACTTGAATAACATGCAGAAATGCTCAGAACATAGTCGTAAGTGCCTGAACAGGGTACATACATAACTAGTAGCATCTCACATATTTAAAAAATGTGTATATGCATATTTAATGAAAAAGACAATCGTTATCTATGGGTGGTAGGATTACAGGTTTTATTATTTTTTTTCTTTAGCATTTTCTATATTATGCCAGAGATACTCCAAAAGCCACCATTTTATAATGAGGGTAAAAGGGTATTTTAGAGGAGCTTGTTCTGGAGAGCACTCTTACAAAACTCCCTGAAAGAGAAGGACTTAAGCACTCAAATTTGGAAGAACATCTTTGATGCCCTGGATGAGAAACACTGAGCATGAAGAAGATTGAGGGGAAAGGTAGCCAAGTAGGAATTTTTTCTGAATCAGC